GGGAGAGAGAGGACCTAGTAGCACTCAGTGAAGAGGCGGGGCCAGAAGCTGAGTGTCGATCCCTGCAGCAACAATTATGTGAGTACACCTGATGCAGACCACACACACTACTCGACACACCTGTCTGACAGTATGCCTCACTCAACGCACCTGCTAGAAAACACATTTCTCATTTTTCATAATTTCTTAGGACCAAGCATGTACTGAGTTCGCCTGTCCAATAAGTTAATAATAATAATAATAATAATAATAATAATAATAATAATAATAATAATAATTTTGTTTCTACAAGTACTTATACAAGGTATACAGGCTTAGCTGACATCAATAACATACTACCATATAGAAAGCCGCTTGTTATGCAGAGCATTTCGGGCAAATTAGGTTAGTTTTGTCCCAGGATGCGACCCACACCAGTCGACTAACACCCAGGTACCCATTATTATTGATGGGTGAACATGGACAACTGGTGTAAGGAAACACGCCCAATGTTTCGACCCCTTTGCCGGGAATCGAACCCGGACCCTCACCGTGTGAAGCAAGAGCTTTTGCCACCAGGTTTCATTCTACATGTACCTACTGGAGTGCTGACATTCACTCTTCATATCAACCCTGAAGTGAATAATGCACTCTGTACAGTTAGAACGTGTGTGCATGTATGCGCGCGTGTGGGGAGAAAGAGAGAGAGAGAGAGAGAGAGAGAGATGAATAGTTCTCTGAATAAAAAGGTCACACAACATACCCCAGGCCGTGGGCGAGGCAGGTGTTACTGACTCCACAGCGAAGCTGCCACCACTGTCGTAGTAAACTCCGGTTGAAGTAGGCGCCTCCGGTTTCTTAGACAAGTCCTTGACCCTATGCGCGATATCGGCCAGCTTATGGAAGTCCTCCTCGAAGGTGGTGACGGCATGACTGGGCACAACGGAGAAGTTGAGCAGTTTGTTGTAGTTGGCAGAGAGTTCCTTCATGGCCTCAACCAGCTGGGCCACTCCTGTGTCAGCCTCGCCACCACCATCATCACAAGGCTTCTCACTAGCCGAGTGGAACGATGCTTCCCCAGGTTCTGAAACAGAATTATGTGTCCATAAGAGTCATATGAGGAGAAGGTTGTGTTAAGGATCATATTAAGAGAAAGTTGTGTTGAGGATCATTTTAAGTGATTAATGTGTAAAGGGTTTTAATAACTAAAGTGTACCTAGGACAAGCTGTAAGACTAGAGAGAGAGAGAGAGAGAGAGAGAGAGAGAGAGAAGCTGGAATTCTCTCATGTCACAGGAAAAGTATGAGTTTTTCAAAATTGGAGATAGATTTTTTTCCTATAAGTCTTTCACCCCTTTTTTTATAAACTGGTCACATTCTCCCTTATTCCACTTAATCTACCTTACTCCTGCGTAGTAATCTTCCTTCCACTTCGTTCGGTGTATTATTATTATTATTATTAAATAACAAAAAAAGGCACAATACCGTGACTGGAACAATACACAAATAACCCGCACATAAAAGAGAGAAGCTTACGACGACGTTTCGATCCGACTTGGACCATTTACAAAGTCACACTAACCAGAAGTGGAGCAGGACGGCTATATATAGGCAGGAAGAGGTGGTGGTGGTGGTGGTGGTGGTGGTAGTAGTAGTAGTAGTAGTAGTATAGTAGTAGTAGAGGTAGTAGTAGAGGTAGTGGTAGTGGTAGTAGTGGTAGTGGTAGTAGTGGTAGTAGTAGTAGTAGTAGTAGTAGTAGGGAATAAGGAGGAGGAACCAGTCAAATACAAAGATAGGGGAGCACTGCAAGGGAGCTAGGTGCCCACAGAGGAAGAGCAAGTGCACAGAGGTGGGTGAAAGGGGAAGTAGTGAAATAAATAAAGAAGGGACAGAAACGCGAGACAGAAGAAAGAAAGACAACCCAGAGGAGAAAAAGGAAAGAGGAAAGGGGAAGAGGGAGAAGAAAAAGAAAAAGAAAAATGAGGAGTCAGGTTAAGTCACCGGTGTTCTGAAGTTTGGAGCATTTTACAATGTAGTGGGAGAGGAAGGCATCTACAGAGACGAAGCCAAGACTAAGATTCATACAAGGAAAGTTGTGTATTAGAGAGGATTCAACTAGACGGCGACTGTTCGAGTTGGAAGCAGGGAAGACAGTTTTAGCAGAAGACCAGTCAATAGGATGGCTATGATCTCTGACGTGACAGAAAAGAGCATTGTTAGTGTCGGCAAGCCTAACACTATATTTGTGCTCCCTAAGTCTGTCAGAAAGAGATCGACCAGTTTCTCCGAAGTGTGACTTTGTAAATGGTCCAAGTCGGACCGAAACGTCGTCGTAAGCTTCTCTCTTTTATGTGCGGGTTATTTGTGTATTTAAATTTTTATTATTATTATTATTATTATTATTATTATTATTATATTATTATTATTATTATTATTATTATTATAAGTATTCCCTATTCTTGCTTCATATTCTTTCTTATATCAACCACCACCACCACCATTAAGACTACTACTAGTATTACTAGTAGTTACTATTAGTTACTACCTTCATTACTACACATATTAAGACTACTATTAGTATACTAGTAGCAGTCTTTATATGTGTAGTATGAAAGTAGTAACAGTAGTTTAGCGAAAGCAGCTTTATTGATAATAACATTAGTAGTTATGATAGTACTGTATTAGCAAATGTTGTATTAATAGCAGTGGTTTAAAATTTGCATTTACAGTTGCAGGAATAGTAGTTGTAGTAGTGGTGAGTGTAGTATTAGTGATAGTAGTAGTGGTGGTGATAGTGAATGTAATATTGGTCGTGATGATGATAGTAGTAGTAGTAGTAGGGGTGGTGAATGTAGGATTAGTGGAAGCAGTAGTAGTAGGAACAGGAGCAGCAGAGGCAGCAGTAGTAATCGAAGCAGCAGCAGCAGTAGTAGTAGCAGGAACAACAGCAGCGGCAGCAGTAGTAGTAGCAGCAGCAGCAGTAGTAGTAGTAGTAGTAAACAGATATATCGATGATAAAAGTAGCAGTGGTAGGAGCAACTTTGGTAGAGTTTTTATAACTACAGGAATAACAGTAATAGTTGTAGTAGTAGTAGTTACTGTAATATTAACAGAGCTGTAACTAGCATAAAATACAGCAGATTCCAAACAATGTGGAGAATGGTAACATATACACCATCACAATGATTACATTATATATACCATCACAATTATTACATTATATATATCATCACAATGATTACATTATATATATCATCACAATGATTACATTATATACATCACAATTATTACATTATATATACCATCACAATGATTACATTATATACACCATCACTATCACAATGATCAACACAGCAATTTCCCCCAACGAAAAAATATTATCCTATGAATAATGAAACGAAACATACTACCTGTGTGTCTGCTTGGCTGTGGGTGACCTGTAACTGGTTCTGACTTCCACGTTACCTGAGTTTATAGTGTGGGGTTCCGGTTATGATCTCCTGGATGACCTTAAGTTCCATCTTATAACTTACCTAAGTTCGTGGTGTGTGGAATGGCTTCGGTAGCGTTGACCAGTTTGGCTGCAGCTTCTTGACCTGTGTTTCCAGCTGCACTACCCGTACCTTGGTCACCAGCGTGTGGTAGCGGATATTCTGAAGAATCTCCCACTGACTGTTCATGGCACGACGGATCTCCTCCATAAAGCTTTCTAAAGTTGTTCTGCCCGTGTCCTCACTGAGCATTGCCTTCCCTTCGTCGCCGCCTTCTGTAGTGGTGGTCACTTGCCCCAGGGCTCCTCCAAGCAACACGAGGAAGGCCAGAGAGAGGGAGAAGGCGCGTGGTGTCGTCAACATCATGGTAGCGAGGCTGCGGAGATACTGCGTAGCTTCCATCCACTCTAGAGATCACGTCCACGGCAGCCTCCACCGCACATCACATCACACACTGAGCTGTTGTTGAGGCTGTTGCTCCAGCACACACTAACGTTGCCGCGCCATGTACCACTAACTCGTGGCCGCAGGTTAATTAAAGCAAACTAGGGATATTGGCTATGTCAGGGAGCAACGTTTCTTGGTGCTACGTCTGGCACCGGGTTGCCAGACGTGTTGGAGCCGTTTTTTTACAGTTATATTCAAGTTCACTTACCCTAAATTAAAGAAAATATTATTTGTTAAACTTTTTTTTACAAGGATATTAATAAACTGACGATGAGAATCATATAAGTTAACAATACGAAAGGTTAGGTTGCATGGGAAGTCGATCTTATTAGAGGCCTTCCCAAGGTGTAATATTATTAAACTACTATGAGTATCTGGGAGAACACCCTCACACACACACACATTAGCTAAATACGGACACGATGAAGTTCTCGTTAACGATGGAATCTACACAAAAAGGCAGATAATAATTTTTCCTTTCAAGACAACAGGACACGGCTTGACGCTGGCCGCCCTGCCAACTAACTGACCACGGTGGACCCTCGTTGCTGCTATCGTTCTGATATAATGAGGATATCTCTAGTGGGTCGATGACCAAAGTGATTATCTATTCACTATGGTAAAGCTAACTACCATGAAGCACCACTCTTACCCCTCAGTGAGAATTGATGTGTGCTAGCTGTGTAGTTTTGTGAGCTAGTTGTGTCAAGTGTGCAAGCTGTGTTGTGTGCTGTGTTATGTGTGCTAGCTGTGTAGTCTTGTGTATTAGCTGTGTTGTCATGTGAGCTAGCTGTGTTATGTGTGCTAGCTGTGTTGTGTGTGCTAGGTGTGGTATCATGTGTGCTGTGTTATCTTGTGTGCTAGCTGTGTTATGTCATTTTTTGCTGTGTAGTCTTGTTTTCTGTTATGTGTGCTAGCAGCGTTATCATGTGTGCTAGCTGTGTTGTTATGTGTTTATGTTGTCATGAGCGTTTAATTTGTCTTGGATGATTAATGTCATGTGTTTTGTCATGGGTACTAATATGATGTTTTACGTGTTGTATGTTACTGTTAGGCTCTGGTTATGTAGTCAAATGTCTGTTTTGTTTGTTATGTTGTTACGTGCGAAGTGAGAAACCACTTAAAATATTGACAGGTTAAATAGATGAGTATAGAATGGCCTCAGTCAGCGAGCCTCATTTACTGAAGCAGACTTCTGGACTGAGAATCAAATATGCACACCTATTTTGCCTGTTTTCTTTTTCTGCCTGGGTAGTTTCTCATGCATCATTCATCGTTGTTTATGGCACTTAAATTCCAGCATATCGTCATGTGCTCAAGTTGACGTGGTCAAGTTGCCATGTTTTCATTTTGTCAAGTGGTTGTCCATGGACCACTTTTTTTAATTTGTTTTGGGCATGTTAATCTGTTTGTTAGTTTCAAAGTGCAACGTTGCTAATCATACTCATTCTCCTCGTCGGAATTATCATCTTCCTAATCATCATTAGCATTTGTAGTATTAGTATTAAAGCGCGAAAAAAAAGAATTTATCAGTTTGAAAGAATTCGGTCCTCAAGTCGCTAGAATCTGTTTCAATATTTGGCTAAATTTTGGTCTCGTTAAAATTTTGGTCTCGTTAAAATCTGGTCCACAGTTAGGTAAAATACGGTCCGCAATCAGCTAGATTCCCGTCTCCAGTTCGCTAGAATCTGGACAACAGCTCTTTACAATATGATCCACAGTCTCAAAGGGTCGGGTTCACAGTTTGTTAGAAACCGGAGATGTTCTGTCGATGTTCTAGCAATGTTCCGGCGATGCTCTGGCGATGCTTCATCAGTGTTCCGGCGATGTTCCAGCAATGTTCCGGCGATGTTCTGGTGAGGGAGTGACTCGCAGAACACAACTTCTAAACACAGTAATCGGGAAACTTGGCTGAGAAGATGAGGTGTTCTAATTCACACAGTTTTTTTTTTCCTTGAACTAGCACACCTGCCTCAACCAGACACACACATTCACCCAGAAACGTACAAATACAGCCGGAGCCATACATACACTGGCAAATCTGTGCATACTCAACCAGACCAATATACACTCAACCAGACACGTTCACAGTTAATCGAACTCAAAAAACTCACCTAAATCCATACACGCTCAACCCAACCCATACACTCAACTAGACGCATGCAAACTAAACCAGACACATATACACTCAAGCAAACCTACACACACTCAAACAAACCAACACACACTCAACAGGATCCATACACACTCAGCCGGGCCTATACGTTCTCCATCATATCCATACATACTCAACCAGACCTTTACACACTCAAATAAACACATACACATTGTCAGGCCCAAATAAGTTCAGCAGGACTCAAACACACTCAGTAAGACCCAGGCGAGACCTGGTCTAAATACATGTCCAGGGTTGTGTGTGTGTTATAATTTTGTGTGTTTATCAGTCCTTATTTTCAATACTCTTTTTTAGCGCTATATCGGGGTAAAGTTTTTCTAGGTTGTTTTAATGCAAGTTTTGTGCAGTGAGCTAAGTCAACTTGATACATGAAAAATGATGCGTGGTGATACCTTAAGGATGTTTTCAGGGGTCCTGTCCCAAACCATGCTTGTGTCTAACTTCTCTGTCTCTCTCTCTGTCTCTCTCTCTCTCTCTCTCTCTCTCCTCTCTCTCTCTCTCTCTGTAACAACTGGGTATCTTTATTATGTAAACTTTTCGCCAACCAGTGGCTTTATCAATACAATACAGGGACCAAAACAGAAGACTGAAGAGGTTGAAGATGAAGTAATCAGTCCCTCAGCCTTGGTATGATATATCATTGATGTTATGATAGTCTCTGCAACATTCCTGAGGCTTTTTTTTATGAATACTGAGTTCCACGAGGTTTGGCCTGAGGCAGCGTGCATGACCAAGCAATCACGTTCCTGCAGTGTCGAGCTGGATTACGGTTATATCTGATTTATTGGGAGAGTTTGAAGTCACATTCACGGAAAAATCATGTAGGTTTTCAGTCTTGATTCTGTTTAATGGATCACTGAAGGGAAGGCGTGTTCCTGGGTGAAGCAAAAATTTAATTAAAAAGAAATCTTTCAAAAATTAGAGAATTCAAGGAGTATTTTGGTGTTTAAATTTTTTCTTCGATTTTTCTAAATTTAATTATTGGAGTACAGTTTTTGTGCCATAAAAAATTAGGGATGTTTTATGTTTTTGTGTTATGTGGATATTTTTTTATATTCTTTTCTTTTTTTAAAATTTTAAAGTAAAAAAATCTTTATTTATTTCAAACCCCGTCTGAGGGGGAAAAAAAATGGGAAGTTAGAAGAAAAATTTTTGTCATTTTGGAAAAAAAAAACCGCTTGGGTTTTTTTAAACAAAAGATTTTCTAAGGCCCGGTCCCCTGACCGGGCCGCGAGGGGGTTGAAAACCCCAAAAATCCCCCCCCCTCCTCTTCAGGTATACTCCCGGTAAGTTATTGGGGTTTCTACACGTGTTGCTTCATTATTTATTGAAGAATCATAAAAATTCTTTCTGATATTGAAGATGAAGTTATTGTTCTTGAGTTCCAGGTTGAGACTTTCATCAAAATTACTCTCAAAATATTTTATTTTATTGTTATGAGAAATTACTTGCATGAGGTTTACAGGGTATTACCTGAATTGTTATATGTAAGTTGTGGAAAATTACATTTATTTGAATGTAACTCATTATGTACATACCAGTAAATAACAAAGATAATTATTTATCAGAGTTACATAGACAAGTAGGAATTTGGGACACCTAGGTCACAAAAAATATCCCTCTTCGATACCTACAACTGTCATATCCACAAGTTGCTCTAGACCTATTAATTATAAATAAAAGATACATCACCAGGGATGCTGGTAAATATATAAATTTGTGGACTGTATATTACATTGATAAAGGATTATATATATACACATATACATAACAGAAGGAAAATATATCTTAATATCACTCACCAATTTGACTGGAGATTAATGTGTCATGTACAGGACCCCCCTCTTTTGCCTACATTTATGAAAAATTTGCTGGCCAGAATTTAAACATAAATTAGACAGCTTATCTGAGGTTCCTGGAGTTGTCCTGTCCTGTCGCTACTCAAGTTATGCAGGAATGCACATCCAACAATTTCGGCTCCTATTTGAGAGGTGTCAACCCAATTTTAACCTCTAGAGCACGATAAATTCTTCCCATTATACACTACCATTAATGTCCAATTCAAACAAAATGGAGAGTCCCTTCTGCTCAGGCGCAGGCTTCCCATTTTCGATAACATACTTCTTTTAAAAATGCACTTTTAATCAGGTTTATTTACACAGCATAATATTGGGAAATTATTTTCCACACTGCAGCCAGGCGGAGGTCGTTGCTAAACGACTCAAATTGCTGATTTGGCAACGATGGAGGACCTGGGTACATATAGGATCTGGCATACACACGGCGACATATTACACAAGATTTAATCACCCTTTTTACACTTTGCCGTCCTTGTGGAATCCAGAAAGTTTCCCTAATACAATTTAAGGTATCTTGTACCCCACCATGCATTACATTTTTATGGGCATTTAGAACAATCAAATTTGTTAGATGATGAGTTTTGGGCAGTAAGATAGGGTGTTTAG